CAGTTTATTAAGTTCTTTAGATTCCACATATAAGCGAGATCATGTGATGTTTGTCTCTCTCTGACTGGCTTATTTCACTTAGCATAATATTCTCCAAGTCCATCTATACTGTCCTAAAAGGTAAGATATTCTTCTTCTTTACAGCTGCATAGTATTCCGTGGTGTAAATGTGCCACAGCTTTTTTATCCACTCATCTATTGATGGGCACTTGGGCTGTTTCCAGATCTTAGCTATTGTAAGTTGTGCTGCTATGAACATCGGGGTACATATATTCTTCCTGATTAGTGTTTCAGGATTCTTAGGATACATTCCTACGAGTGGAATCACTGGGTCAAAAGGCAGGTCCATTTTTAATTTTTTGAGGAACCTCCATACTGTTTTCCATAGTGGTTGCACCAGTCTGCATTCCCACCAGCAGTGTACTAGGGTTCCCCTGTCTCCACACTCTCGCCAGCACATGCTGTTTGTTGATTTGTTGATAGAGCCATTCTGACAGGTGTGAAGCAATACCTCATTGTGGTTTTAATTTCCATTTCTCTGATGATTAGTGACGAGCATTTTTCATATGTCTCTTAGCCATCTGTATGTCCTCTTTGGAGAAGTGTCTATTCAGGCCCTTTGCCCATTTGTTAATTAGGTTATTTGTCTTCCTTTTGCTGAGTAGTATGAGTTCTTTGTACACTTTGGAAATTAACCCCTTATCAGATACATNGTTAATTGGGTTATTTGTCTTCCTTTTGCTGAGTAGTATGAGTTCTTTGTACACTTTGGAAATTAACCCCTTATCAGATACATCCTTAGCAAATATGTTTTCCTAAACCATGTGGTTCCTTTGTATTTTGAGGCTGTTTTCTTTTGCTGTGCAGAAGCTTTTTAGTTTGATGTAATAATGCATAATAATCTTAAGTGAAATTTCCCCTTCATGTGAATAATTTACCGCTTGTGCCTGGAACTTAACCTATGTGCCATAAGCACTTCATCATAGGATGAAAAACAAGGTCTCTAGGAGAAGAGTGGCTGGTGGAATGCCAAGAAACCAGTCAGCACGGACTCGGCCAGGCTTTCTCGGTGCCCAGCCCGTGCCTGGTGTGGATCCTGCGAAAGAGGCCTAAAACACTTACAGATGCCTTCAGAGAAAGAAAGTTGTCCACATTCCCAGGTCACTTTCCAGTTCCCTTCATCATTAGCACCACTCCAGCGTCCCCACAGTCACTCAGGAACATGCGTGTTTGCCAGGAGACTTTAGAGCTCAGGCTGAGCAAGGCTGCTGGAGTCACCGAGCTCAGACACCTCAAGAACTCACTTCAGCTCTGTCTTCAGGAGAGACTCAATTGACGCCCTGTTGCTGTGTCCTGCTGCTGCTGTAAAATTTCAGAGAGTAGCAAAGTGCTAGCACTGATATGGATCTCGGGTTTATCTATCTAGTTCAACCTGCTCATTTTACAGGCGAGAGCACCTGCTTCAGAGGACAGATTCTCTATGGAATTTGGTGGCAGTGCTCATGGTACAGTGGCCCTGGCACCACTGCTGGGTCCTACCTTTTTTGATGTATGTATTGGTACCTTCTGTTGTTCAAGAAGGACTTGACGCCAGTGTCTGGTACTGAGAAACCCGTGCATGAAGAAAAGACATGAGTTCTCAGTGCTACAGTGAACATTTTTCTCTTGCCTAGATACGCAAAAGCGAGCCCGTTATTTTAAAGCAACTAAATCTCTGTCATTACATTCACTTATATAATTGAAATCTCTGTTAGTTTTCTGTTCTCTGTGGAAGAAATGCTCCCTTACATGAATATGTCCTTTTCAAAAATCTTAAAATTTGTAAAATTTACCATTTTCTCATTTTACATGTACAGTTCAGTGATATTAAGTACATTCACAATGCTGTATAACTATCACCATTATCCGTTTTCAGAAATTTCTCATCATTCTAATAGAAACTCTACCTCTTTTTTAAAAAAATTTATCTTTATTGTTGAGAGCACTACAGGTGTCCCNCTCCCACCCTCCACCCCCCCTTCCCTCTTCCCTCTGAAATATGATCATCTGTTGCATGTGTCAGTGTCTCTGGATCCATTTAGTTTGTCAGGTTCTTTTGTTCATTAGCTTCTTAAAGAAGACCCTTCAACATTTCATGTAGTGCTGGTCTGGTGGTGATGAACTACTTTAGCTTTTCCTTGTCTGAGAAGCTCTTTATCTGACCTTCAGTTCTAAATGATAGCTTTGCTGGGTAGAGCAATCTTGGTTGTAGGTTCTTGCTTTTCATCACTTCGAATATTTCTTGCCACTCCCTTCTGGCCTGCAAGATTTCTGTTGAGAAGTCAGCTGACAGTCATTGGGTGCTCCCTTGTAGGTAACTAATTGGTTTTCTCTTGCTGCTTTTAGATTTTGTCTTTGTCTTTAACCTTTGGCATTTTAACCTTTATCCGCTGAAAGGGAACTTTAGTTCCCGGCAAGGAGTGGGTCCCTCTGGCAGAATTTAAATGCTGACAGAATTTAAATGCCGTCTTTTAAAGGTTAAATACTCAGAAACCTAAGCATATACGTTCTTTTTTACAGGCAAAAGGAAAGAAACCAT